CTTGACAAGACTGGTCTTGAGAAGGAACTTCATTGTGCCGTGCCTGGACAGACCCCGAAGTACATGAAGATCACTTGCGGGAACAGGTGCCTGCCAACATTTACGACAGCCGACTTCATTTTGAAAAGGGACATCGCTCGATGGATGACAGGGCACGAGAAACTAGCGGCTCTCGGCTTCCCCGTGGGCGAAGCTATCGCGGCTGCGTATGGGACGGTGACTGGGTAACTGTGCAGTACAAGGTGTATTCGTTTGCACGTTTACGAGTGTTTTTTTAGTGAGAAAAAAAAGACATGTGCCATGTTAACAGCCAAGCAAAGGAACCGATGTCCTTGGACTGCTGGAAAGGATTGCATGAACTGGGAGGGAATACACAACATCTACCACAGAGTGCGACTGGGTTATATCTCTCGCATGCCATGTTAGTCTATGTAATAGTAGGTGTCCTGTTGTCAACATACAGATTTTGAGGCGATGGTGTTGTTATCCGCGCTGGCTTGCATCCGATTCCGTCCTGATGATGGGCCACCACTTTACAAATGTCCTGAGGACAGAGTTCTCATCGAGACGCAGCCGAATGGACTTTGCTTTTGGACATGCCTTTTCCTCGGTGCCGTGGCGTCATCGTCCCAACTGTTGGGTTTCTACAACACGCCACGATTGCCAAACGGCATGCCCAGCGGCGACGCTGCAGAGAAAGAGACTGACGACATCAGAGAATGGGCCTTGTCACTGGACAACCCGCCAGGGAGGATGCCACGGCAATGCAGGCGACGCATTATCAAAGGCGAGAGCGCTGTCATACCCGACATTGAGCCTTGCCGTTTCAGCAAGATACCTCTCTCTCTTTGTGTGCAATGTAGTCGCATTTTCAGTACTTGCTGCTGCCATGTTGATTGTTCGCAACACTGTTGCAGGAGTGGGCGGCTGAGACCTTCGACGTCACGTTGATGTTCTTCACTGGCAAGCGCCCGCCTCTGCCTGGCGATGTTCCTGCATGGCGTGTGCCTGCAGTTCCCAAACCTCAACAGGACGAAGACAGGCCGACGCTTTGGATGTGGAGCCACACTGTGAAAGATGGTGCAGGGCACGAGGCAGCGCACTTCTCGCTCCTTTCTCGGGACACTCATGGCTGCGCACAGTGTTTGGTGGTGTTGTGTGGTTTACTGTGGGGCTTAGGGTCGAAGGTTGAAAGAACTTCTGGCTTTGGGGCTTCGGGTTTTCGCGATTTTCGAGGTTTTGGGTTTGGGGGGGGGGAGGGGGCGGGGGGGCTACAGTAAACCTTAAACTTGCCAACTGAGCCCGGCAGACCAAATCTCGCCAGCCAACCCCCAATTTGGTGGCAACCGCACTTGAACACATTTCTCGTGCCATGTTAATGTAATGTCGCAGGAGATGGGGTTCCTGCTGCACAGAGAGCCTTTCATGGGGCTCCCTCGAAGCCGACCTTTCTCTGCTGGTCCCGAAGCCAACTCACAGGCAGCGTCCAAACCATCGGTCAAGAAAGAGCTTCCGGATCCGGAAGCGAAGCCTCTGAAACTGCCGGAACAACAGACGAACACGGCTGGGAGCCTTCTTGACCAGCTGAAGGCTGCATCGGTGGTTCGCGACGAAGCCAGGAAGCACTTCGTCGTGCAGGGCCCGAACGCGAAGCTTTACGTCAAGGATGAGGACAGACGTGGTCAAAAAGCATCATGTTGCAAAGGTTGTTTGTGTTCAAGTCTCTTTAAGTAATACGTACTAAAAGCTCGCATATTTTCCATCACTGCATGTGCCATGTTAGTCTACACGCGAGAGGATTTCCAAGACAATCCAGAGCTTGCGGCGAACGTGGCCCTGTCAGTGGAGAACTTTCATCAGATGACCCTGGCAGAGTTCGGGCTCAAATCCATGGCCGACTTGAGGACGATTGCGAAAGACCATGACCTTCCGGCAGGGCGACGGAAAGATGACTTGGTCAAGAAGCTGGTTCAACACCTTTGCTTCTTGCCCAGTTTGTTGCACCAACTCGTGTCACTGGTTGACTTTCCACTACACTGTGTACTGTGTTTGGGTTCCAATAGGCACACACGTGGCTTTCACTTTGCAGATCCTTCCATGTTACAGTTTGCTTTGTTAAAAAAAATCAATCCAAGGTGCAGGAAAACTCGCAGGGTATTTTTCGAAAGGCCCCGCGGTGCCAGACGACACCGAGCCCGCCAGCAAAAAGCAGCGACTCGCAACACAGCAAGGGTTCAAGGACCTGACACAAGCAAACATCAATGCACTGTTCGCAGGCAAGAAGATGCAGCCGGGCCCCAAACAACCAGCGAAGCCAGCACCATCGATGCGTGATTTCACACAACACAACATCGACAAGATGTTTGGGGCTGCACTGGCACCAGCACAGGCCTCTGGTGCACCGATGATCAGTGTCCCTGCGCAAGCCCCAGCAGAGCAGCCAGCACAGGGAACCATGTCCGAAAATCACACCCTCGCGCAGGAGACCCCAGTGGCCCCGAGCAGTGCTAACATGGCACCTGAAGCACTTACAATCAACATGCCGAACATTCCTACCGAGCCCAGTGTTCCTGAGCAAGCCCCAGCAGACCAGCCAGCACAGGGATCCGTGTCCGAAAATCCCACCCTCGTGCAGGAAACCCCCGTGGCCCCGAGCAGTGCTAACATGGCACCCGAAGCCCTTCCAGCCGCAGCAACCATGCCTACGGCCCAGACCCTGCCAGAAACCCGGAAAGCAGCCGAGATCCCAAGTGCCCCTGAGCGAGCCCCAGCAGCGGAGCAGCCAGCACAGAGACCCGAAAATCCCACCCTGGCCGCCCTGAGCAGTGCTAACATGGCACCTGAAGCCATTCCAAACAACACAACCGCCCGGACCCTGCCAGAGGCCCAGAAAGCAGCCGAGATCCCAAGTGCCCGTGAGCAGCCAGCACAGGGAACCGTGTCACCTCTCACGCAGGAGTGTCCAGTGGACCCAAGCAGTGCTGACATGGCACCCGAAGCCCTCCCAACTGCAGCAAGCATGCCAGGCAGTCCGACGGCCCAGACCCTGCCAGAAACCCAGAAAGCAACCGAGATCCCAAGTGCCTCTGAGCAAGGTTTAGCAGCGGAGCAGCCAGCGCAGAGACCCGAAAATCCCACCCTGGTGGCCCCCAGTGCTAACATGACACCTGAAGCCATTCCATCCACTCTCGCGCAGGAGTGTCCAGTGGACCCGAGCAGTGCTGACATGGCACCCGAAGCCCTCCCACCAGGCAGTCCAACGGTCCAGACCCTGCCAGAAACCCAGAAAGCAGCCGAGATCCCAAGTGCCCCTGAGCAAGCCCCAGCAGCGAAGCAGCCAGCACAGAGACCGGAAAATCCCACCCTGGTGGCCCCGAGCAGTGCAGGTGCCATTCGAAACAATGCAACCGTCGGGACTCTGCCAGAGGCCCACGTGTCCACTCTCGTGCAGGAGTGTCCAGTGGACCCGAGCAGTGCTAACATGGCACCCGAAACCCTCCCAACTGCAGCAACCATGCCAGGCAGTCCCACGGCCCAGACGATGCCAGAAACCCAGAAAGCAACCGAGATCCCAAGTGCCCTTGAGCAAGCCCGGCAGCCAGTACAGAGACCCGAAAATCCCAACCTGGTGGCCCCGAGCAGTGCTAACATGGCACCCGAAGCCATTCCAGACAACGCAACGCTGACCACCCGGACCCTGCCAGAGGCCCAGAAAGCAACCGAGATCCCAAGTGCCCATGAGCAACCAGCCTTGGGAACCTTGTCCGAAAATCTCACCCTCGTGCAGGAGTCCCCAGTGCCCGAAGCCCTTCCAGACACAGCCCTTCCACATGCAGCAATGATGCCAGGCAGCCCTATCACCAGGAGAGCAGAGGAGACAACCACGATCCCCAATCCAAGTACGCCTGACAGCTTGTTTGAAAGGGGACCTTGGACCCCAGAACACAACCCAGACCAGCAGTCCGAGACACATGTCAAGATTGAACATGGCAGCCCCCAGCCGCATTCTCCTTCTCCTTTTGACATCGAGGACATTGCAAAGGAACCAGCGCTTGGCAAGACTAATGCTAACGTGGCATGTGAAGTCCTATCTGCAGCCGCGGCACCCGCAGCACCGATCCAGGACATGTGCCCCTCTGACACTGCTCAGCCGCAGCAAGACAAGCCCAAATCAAAGGCAGCAGTGAAGTTCGCAGCTAAGAATGCAGCCAAAAAAGCAGCAAAAGCAAAAGCGAAGGCAAAAGAAAAGGGAACAGTGACGCCGAAGGCAATCAGTCAGAAATTGGCCAAGGACGGGGCTGGTTCCGGGACTTATGGGGCAAATTTGCCGCCCGCAGAATCTTCAGGGGCTGCCAGCAGCAGTGACAAGCCACCGGAAGCTCCTACGGACGAAGGTTCCATCGTCGCCTATTCTGTTGGAAGCACGTTTGGCAAGACAGCTGTGGCTCGGAGTCAGAAACACAAGTTTGAGAGCTGCGAGTTGGCACTGCAGAGCATAGTGCTGAAGAAGTTCCGCATGGCGTTGGAACCAGGCTTCGCAAAGGAGTACTTGGCATTCTGTGGCTTGGGCATCGTGAAGCAGTACAAGATCGATCGCAAGAACTTGAAAGGCTTAATCATGGGAAAGTTTTCGGACCACCAACGAATGTGGAAGCATGCCGAACAGCGACTACACGGTGGGGTTGGGATGATTATTCTTTGTGAGAATCATGAGCTGAGCATTGCAGAGGTCTCTTGGTGTACTTGTGTGTGTGTGTTTTTCTTTCTGAATTTGTTGTGATGTGTTTTTTTTGTTTGCAGCAGGTGCCATGTTAGCTCTGAGGTACTGGAGTCACAACCCTTGTCAACCTCCCCAGCAGAGGACATTATTATTTGCACAGTGCCAGAAGGTGGCCCCCTCGGCACAGAGGACGATGAGTTCTCGAATGTGAAGTTCACCGTGGTGTCAGTGGCCACAGGCGAGCCTTGTGGAAAGACCGTCAATGTCGAATTCTTTTCGGATGGCAAGCTTGGAGCCCTTTCTGGTGGCTTGTTGCGCATGGAACAGGACGTTGCAGACGATCGAGGCCAAGCTGAAGGTGCTGGACTACTATGAGGGCTTGCTCAAAGAGAAGCGGAAGGCTGCACAAGTACTTTGTGCCCCAAAGCAAAGTGCTCGAACACGCGAGTCCAAAGCGTCACTCGCAGAACAAAGGAAGCAAGCGAAGGACGTGAAAGCTCGGAACCTGCAGCGACTCTGCGAGGAAAAATTCCCCCTGACGGTCAAGAAGTCCATGGTCTGCAGGTGGCTCAAAGCTTCCAAACGGGAGGCCTGGCGTGACTTGCCTTCGCTGCTCAGGAGCCGGATGTGTGCAACCACGAATGCCTGGCGTGTTCGTTTGGGCCTTCAAGCCAAGGGCCGCACCAAGGGTGGCGCCTACCCGTGCGACCTACAAAGGGAGCTGGATTGGCTCGTGTACGAGCACGCCAACGGACTTTCATCTGTATCAGCACGGCACGAGGTGGTGACAATCGAACACGTTGCGTTTTGACAAATTTCAGATGCCATGTTAGTGCAATTGATCATGTTCGGGAGTAATTGAACATTTTGTAACAACATGTGCCATGTTAATCTCCCAGCCAAGGTCGAGACGATGACCGGTTTGGTCAACGACTGGAATGCTGGTCTGGACGTGGCCACGCAGGCAGTGATGGATCACAACGAGGGCGTGTCCCAGCAAGTACACGCTGGAACGATGTCTGCGGAGCAGGCAACGAGGGATGCACAGGTTCCTTTTTGTTTTTCGCAACTGTATAGTATACTCAGTATACCGTCAAAAGGGCTGCCGTAAGTATGCTACTGTGATGCAATGTGTCCTGGAACGATTGCTCGAGAAGAGGCCCTCACCATGGTCCTACCGAAGCCTCGCCCTTTGAAGCCGCCGTCGAGACAATGGGCTTCCTGGTTCTTGCGGCAGTATGGGTGGTCGCTCCTGAGTCGCGGGAACGACACCCAGCTTTCTCTTCCATACTGCCACGAGGATATGAGGCGAGCTCGAGAAGCCTACCGTGCCTTGGTCGACGACAAGGGCGTGCATGGTGCGCTGGTGTTGAACTTCGACCAGCTTTGGAGAACTGCGTGGGGCTCGAACTCGAAACTTCTGTTCAAGACTGGCTGTCCGGGGGAGCCATCGCAGAAGTCGAAGGCTGGAGCACGGACATCGAAAAAAATCGATGCCGTGAAGCACCAGCGCCGAGGGATGACGGCAGTCACCACGTCGTGGAGCGATGGGACCGCCGGTCCCATCGCGTTCTGCGTCCCTGAAGGACGCATCTCGGCCGAGGAGATGGCGAAGTTCAACAAGGAGCACAGGGGGCGATCGTACGTGCTGTCGTCCGGCAGCAAAACTCACTTCCTCACCGCGGACACCCTCTTGATCCTCTACGAACAGCTCTTTTCCCCAGCCTTGGTGCTGCAGCGACAGAGGCACGTTTTTTTTGGGGGGGCACAACTGCCATGTTAGCATTACTGTCGGGTACAGGGGGCTGCAGCAACAGTAAGCATTTGGAATTGGCTGGCCTGATTTCGGAACTCGCTCAGGGTTTAGGGTTTCGGGTTTCGGGTTTAAAGTTTAGGGATACCTCCAATCTTTTCAAGGTGCACGTAGGCTTCATTGAAAGTATCTCAGTTTTAAGTAGAGTTATAAGCTCAGTTATAAGTAGTTACCACAGTAAGTCCCATGAACCTCCAAGTAGGGTGTTCTCCTCTCAGGCCTTTGAACTGGTTGGGCTGCAGTAGACCGTTCAAGTATGGTTTCAAATGCCACGTTAGCCTGTTCGCAGGCATGGCGTGGGCACAGAGGATGGCAAAGCCGCGTTCCTCTGCGATGCCTGGTCTGGTACTTTCGCAAACAGCAGGGGCGAGGACTTGCGAAGGCCTGGGCTCCCGTCATTTTTTTTAAATTTACAATACGGAAATTCTGTACTCCTCTAAGAAGCATGCTTTCGGAAGGACCACCTTCTACCAGGAGCACAACATCGTCCCCCCTCGTCTTCAACCTGGCGGCTGGAGTTCTCACGGACAGCCAGTTGATCAGATGCACGCGTCTTACCGGAAGAACATCCGGAGGCTAGACGTGTGTGCCATCGGCATGAACCCAGATCTCCGGTCCCGGCCCCGCATCTCGATGTGACAAAGACATACTGTACTTGTTTTCCGGTTTCGCTACACTACCAAATGATGCAATCTTGGAAGGCATGTGCCATGATAAACTATAGTCCCTTGGCAACCTCAGGATTTGAGGACTTGACTCTGAGGGCATCAGGGCAAGTTGCGCAGGACGCGCGCCCCATGATCGAGATCGCCAAAATCAGTCTCGAGGCATGGAAGCAACTTGATAGGGCGGTGTTCCAAGCTGCCTGGGTCATCTGTGGCTACACCACAGTGGAAGAGCTGTCGGTGTACGATGGTCAGCTTGCAGCTGTGGGCATGGATGCTGAGGTGGCACAGCAGACGCTGTCCGACTTGTTTTCAAAGTATGGCAAGCATTTCACACCGCAGCTCTGCACAGCAATGGAGTGGCAAGTGAAGGCAACCGTTGCGGATGGGGGGAAGGGGAAGGGGGGGGGGGGGGGGGGGGGGGGGGGCGTGAGGACTGTCGGGTTTGTTGTATTGTATGCCGTTTTACTTTTTGTAGTGCCATGTGCTATGTTGATGTGTTGTTAATACAAACAGGTCGGTGATGTTTGGACGCCACTACCCTACGAGTTTGCTGGCGCGGTGGTGAGGACAATGGTTTTGCATGTGCGCAAGCTGCAGGCCGCCAGGGAGGAGTGCCAGAACCTGAGGGAGCGTGACCCGGCCGAAGCCCTCGAGAAGACGGTGCAAGCAAAACGAGAAGTTGCAAAGCTCGAGGATGGAAAACGGTACATTGTGATGAATCGACGGACTGGCCAAATCGCCACGGTCGACTGGTTGACCAAGCATGTGAAGGTGTCCGAAGGCCGCCCTGAACCCAAAGATGCCAGGACCAAGATTTGGATCATGACCCTGGTGTTTCGTCTGCTTGCCGGGGAGCGCGTGTCGCTCGCCCTGTCGATGTCCAATGGCGAGCCTCCACTGCCTGTAAGATGCTGGCGCCTGGACGGGGTGGAACGAGACCAGCTGCCGGAGCTCGTGGGAGGTTACCAGCATGTGTTGGAGGAAGATGAGCCGTTTCAGCACGAGGATGGGCCCATGTAGTAAACAATGGTTTTACAATACTCGCAGTGCATACTGTACTACCCGTGTGACTGTTTGTCCCACGCAGTGCGCCAGTGATTTTCCAGGACGAAGACAGTGAAAGCAACCATGATGGGGCAGATGACGGGGAGCAAAGTTCGGACACGGAGGCGGGTTCCGAGCGAGGTCTGGAAGGCGGGCCGTTCTCTTGTTTTGTGCATCCTGGGTGCCATGTTAGCGAGTCAGGTCTCGAAAATGGGCTGTAACCGCATTTTTTTTAACCGGAGGTGCCGTGTTAGCAATCGTCAAATTGTCTTGTGTTGTTTTTCCGTTTTTTTTTTAACGTCGTGCGTGTTGCTTCTGCTGTAATGGTGAGGGTTCCAGCTGCCTTCTGCAGGCGTCGCCGAGGCGACGGAAGCAGCTCAGCGTCCTGACCAAGGGGCCCGCCATCGCAAGCGGGCTGCGGCAAGCAGTGAAGACGAGGACCCGGATGAGACGGACCAGGGCCGGGAGAACCCTGCAGCCTTCGAGGACATGATTGTTGCAGGTGGTGACCCCGTGGAATCGAACCGATCGCGGAACTGGGCGCCTCCGAGCTTCTTTGAGCGAGACGTCTACAAGGCGTTGTCGCAGGAGGGCCTGACGGTGCTCCCGCCGCAGCCTGGCTGCGGCCTGCGGTACCACAAGCAGAACAAGCAGTGGCACGCGATTTCAGCCTCGGGCACGCAGTTCTGCAAGACCTGGGGGCTCGAGAGATCAGAACGTTTTGCTCTACTTTCTGCTTTGGTGATGTTGTGGTCAGAGCGTGTGGAGCTTCATCCTGCTGACAAACATGCAGCCGAGCACTTGGTGGTCTTGAAAACCAAGCTCGAGGAGCTCGATTTCTAGGAGTGATGAACAACAAAAAGGCGCAACTCACGGCGACTGTTCTGGTTGTGCTGCAACATTTTTTTAGTTGGTAGGTGCCATGTTAGTGATGTGCATACATACTATATCTGTACATGTACACAAACATCAGCGCCTTTTCTGTACACACACACACAGAGACCTTTACATGTACGTGTACCTACATTGTAAGTGTGTAACGCGGGGGAATCAAACAGTGCCGTGCAGTTGGGCGTGTCACCGATCTGGGACAAACCAGCAGACCTGGGAATGAGGGCTTCTTTGCCAAAAAAAGAGTGGTACAGTACTGTAGGTGCTGTGCCACAGCAGTGATGGAAGCTGGGTCTGAGGGTGACGTGTGTGGCAAGTTGTGCTGCAGGTGCCATGTTAAAAGCGTTCTGGCACCTGTAAGTCAGCAAAAGGCCGGAGATTGTAAATATGATGCCTGCGGTGTCGAGCTCAGGGGGTTTTTAATCCACGAGCCTCAAGGGGACACGGTTTTCCCCCTCAGTGTACAGACCAAGCTCGGACACAGGCCTCTCAGTGGCTGCACACATCGCTGTAGTGCACAGTAGTGTCTCAACTGCTATGTTAGCGACATGATATGTGTTGGGCCGATGTGTGCGGACACGCACAGCCACAATGACATGTGTGCCATTTTAACCACCCTTAACATGGCACATACCAAATTCAGCCCGAGCAATGGTGTGGCTTTGCAACAACACGTTAACGTGGCACATACTGGATTTGTGCTCTGGCAACCAGGATTTCCCAGAGACCAACGCTCAATCGGAAAACAAGTCTGAGCAGTTATAAGGTGTCTCGGCTGCCATGTTGAGGCTTTTTGACTCCCTGGAGACATGATTTCCGGATTCGTGGAATGGATTGCACATGCTATGTTAGACTCAAACCATATGTGTTTTGATGCCCGGACTGCCATGTTAGTTGAACGCATTTCTGGATGCGCGTGCTATGTTTGTTTGTGTGAGAGTAGGGTTTAGGGTTTAGGGTTTAGGGTTTAGGGTTTAGGGTTTAGGGTTTAGGGTTTAGGGTTTAGGGTTTAGGGTTTAGGGTTTAGGGTTTAGGGTTTAGGGTGGGGCCTTTTCGTAAGGGCTCTGGTAGGAGGGGTTCCTTCTCAAGTGCTTCTGTAGAAGCATCCCTTTCGGGCACTCCTTCAGGGCCTGGCTTTGGTTTAGGGCTCCGCCTTCGCGTAGTCCCACGCTTGCGGATGCGAGGCCACTCAAGAGTTACATCTTCTCGTGGTAACCCTAAACCCTAAACCCTAAACCCTAAACCCTAAACCCACATGACCATGTTGGGGTCTTGCCACGCGTGCGCACCACGGTAGGCGAGCCATGGGTTGTATTTGGCTTCCCCGTGGTTGTGTTGCTTATTGGTTGGAGTTGCTGATCGGCACGTCTTGGGGATTAGGGTTTTTGGGTCTAGGGTTTTTGGGGCTTTGGGTGATGGGTTTTAGGGTTTAGGGTCTTCAATGAAGTTGTTGTGCATGCACCTGATACTATGGGACCAATGGGTGGGTCCTGATTCGCCTTTCGCCTTTCGGGTTTAGGGTTTAGGGTTGAGGGTTTAGGATTTAGGGGTTAGGGTGAGTTGAGATGCTGAACCCGGGAGTTAAGGGCGTTCAGGGTGCAGGCCTTAGGGTTGCGGGTGTCAGGGTTACATAAGGGTTTGGGGCGTAGGATTTAGGCCCTAAACCCTCAACCCCAAACCCGAAGCCCGAAACCTCAAACCCCAAAACCCTAAACCAAACCCTGAACTCCAAAAGCCTAAATCCTACACCCAAAACCTTACCAGGTACCTCAAACCCGACAGCCCTCAACCCTTAAAGCCGTACGCCAAACCCTAAACCCTAAACCTTACCAGGTACCTGAAACCCTGAACCCGAAACCTTAAACCCTGGACCCTAAACCCTAAACCCTAAACCCCCCCCCCCCCCCCCCCCAAAGGAACGAGGACCCGGCGCTTACTCTCCAGAACCTCGGCCTGGCGAAAAGAGCAGCATGTGGGGCTAGGGTTTAGGGTGTTTAGGGTTTAGGGCTTAGGGTAGGGTTTAGGGCTTAGGGTTTAGGGTTTAGGGTTTAGGGTGTAGGGGTTAGGGTTTAGGGTTTAGGGTTTAGGGTTTAGGGGTTTAGGGTTTAGGGTTTAGGGTTTAGGGTTTAGGGTTTAGGGTTTAGGGTTTAGGGTTTAGGGTTTAGGGTTTAGGGTTTAGGGTTTAGGGTTTAGGGGCTAGGGGTTAGGGTTTAGGGTTTAGGGTTTAGGGTTTGACTTTAGGGCTTAGGGCTTAGGGCTTAGGGCTTAGGGCTTGGGGCTTAGGGCTTAGGGCTTAGGGTTTAGGGCTTAGGGTTCAGGGTTTAGGGTGCAAACATTTCAGCCTTAAAACAAAGCCTTTCAGAACGGCCTAAGCCCCACGTACACCCTAGCCCCCATATACCCTAAACCCGGAATTCCTCAAACCACCCCAAGCCTCATAAGTCTCCTAAGCCCGAAATCCTACATCCCATGTAAACCCTACACCCCACATACCCTTATACCCTTCATGCCCGAAATACACCTAAACCCTAAACCCTAAACCCTGACTCCTATAAACCTTAAACCTAAACCCTAAACCCTAAACCCTGACTCCTATAAACCCTAAACCCTGACTCCTATAAATCTTTAACCCTATGTAAACCCTGAACTCTAAGACAAGCCCCATACACCCATAAACAGAAGCCTTAAACCAGACCCCAAGCCCTAAACCCTACGTAAAGCTTGCATAAACCCTCAAGCCTATAAGGTTTAGGGTTTAGGGTTTGGGATTTAGGGTTTAGGGTTTAGGGTTTAGGGTTTAGGGTTAGGGTTGAGGGTTGAGGGTTGAGGGTTGAGGGTTGAGGGTTGAGGGTTGAGGGTTGAGGGTTGAGGGTTGAGGGTTGAAGGTTGAGGGTTGAGGGTTGAGGGTTGAGGGTTGAGGGTTGAGGGTTGAGGGTTGAGGGTTGAGGGTTGAGGGTTGAGGGTTTAGGGTTTAGGGTTTAGGGGCTAGGGGTTAGGGTTTAGGGTTTAGGGTTTAGGGTTTAGGGTTCAAAATAGCCCCCAAAACCGATACAGACCCGAAGCCCTGAAGGGCCTCAAGTTCCTTGACTCGGGCATCCATCTGCCTGCCAACCCGGCTCGCAGGTTCAGGATTTCATAGGGTTTGCGGTTTGGGGTTTAGGGTTCAGGAGTCAGGGTTTAGGGTTTAGGGTTTAGGGTTTAGGGATTAGGGTGAGGGTTTAGGGTTGAGGGTTACGAGTTGAAGGTTGAGGGTTGACAATTTGGGGTTGAAGGCCTAAAGCCCTGAGGGTTTAGGGGTTAGGGCCGCCATCCGCCCTCAAACCGCAATCCTAAAGCCAGAACCATAAACCCGAAACCTTACACCCCAAGCCCTAAAACCTGTAAACTTGAAACCCTGAATCTGGCGCAACAAAGAACTAAGAGTTTAGGCGCTAGTGTGTTTGGGGGTTTGGGAGTTGGCTCGGGGTTGATGGGGGCTTGGGGTTTTGAGTTTAGGACTGAGGGCTTAGGGCTTAGGGCTTAGGGCTTAGGGTTTAGGGTTTAGGGTTTAGGGTTTAGGGTTTAGGGTTTAGGGTTTAGGGTTTAGGGTTTAGGGTTTAGGGCTTGGGGTCCAGGCTTAGGGTTGAATTCGGGTTGACGGGCTGAAGGGCCAAGATTGGGGAAGGTGCCTATTGTTGGAAGACCTGGCGCAAAGACTCCTGACAGTTTGCTGATCACATCCGGCTTTCGTTTACGGTCTCGGGCTTAGGGTTGCATGGCGCAGTTGTTTCTGTTCACGGCTCAGGGTTTGAAGGGTTTAGGCTTCAGGGCCCTAAACCCTAAACCCTAAACCCTAAACCTTAAACCCTAAACCCTGAACCCTAAACCCTAAACCCTAAACACACCCTTCTTCCCCAGAATCCGAAGCCAAGAACTCACTTTGACCTATGCTGGGTCTTGCACGCCCTGGGCCTTGTTTGGGCAACCTCGGTGGCGAACTTCCCGCGCGTTGTCTCCAACTCCTGCTCAACTTGTGGGGGTTTGATTCTGAAGGGTACTATAACCCCTATTAAGGACTGCTTAGTTGTCGAGTAACCTGGGGGAAC